CAACTTTAAATTTTCCTTTTGTAATTCGTTACTCAAGTCATAGAGGGCCATATGACGAATATCCTTATCCTTGGAATCAGCCTTTTCAATGATTGAATTCACATCAAAGTTGGACATTTTGACTGTGTTTGTATGTGGTGGTGAAAAGAGTTATAGGAATTTTTTTTAAAGTGTTTTATTTTTAAAATGATTGTGCTGGCAAGTTCCTGCTTCTGCTGGCAGCAAACTTCTGGTTGATCAGCAAGCGATAAGACAAGTTCTCAACATGAAGCCTTCATTTCTGGTTTGCAACTGGGTGGTTCATCAACATTTTGTAAAGTGTGCAATTGGTTTTTGTAAATGCTTTTCACTTGTTCCTCACTTGATAAATGATGTTCAGATGAAGAAGATTAGAAATAAACATTGTAGGGAGAAGCAATATATCTTTATATCATCAAATTAATTGGTTTCAAGATTAATTCAAATAACATGATTTCTCATCGTTGACTCGTTTCAGAGACACATGTTTGATGCAAGTTCGGAACGATAATTTTCAATCATTTAAAATAAAAATATAAATAATAATTTTCTAAATAAACACTATTGTATTTATTATTCAAAACACTCAATAATTGTTGTTTTTCTATTTTATACACTAAATTTACAACATTTACTTTCTGCTGCATGAACCGCCAGAACAGCATGATTGTTCTTGTGGCTTTTCTTCAACCTTACCACATCCGCTGCATGCACAATTGCTTCCACAATTGCAAGTAGCACCATTAGAGCATCCACATCCACCGTTTGAGTTCATTTTGTTTGTTTTTTATTGTTTATGTATTAAAATTATCCAAAACAATTAATAGAACATAATTGAGCCGTAATCCCAATTTTTCGCCATTTATTTCCCTCATACAATCGTACGCCCTTGTCTAATTGATTGGCACGGAGTGAATGATTCAATCTATTGCACTATTACAATATTATTTGATGGCTAATTACAGACATAAATGTTACACTATTGATTTAATATTGAATCATTTACATTTAATATTTACAATTTGTATTTACAATTCACCATTTTCCAAATCTATAAATTATTGAGCAGGAGCAGGAGTAGTTGATTCAGTAGATAATTCTTCCATGTCTTCCTTTGATTCAAGTTCCATTTTTCTTCTTCCTTCAATTCTTGCCTTAACATGTTCAGTTTCTCTTCTCTCATCAGACATGGCTTCTTCAGATTCAAAGTTACCTGGCATGAAAAAGTTCAAAACTCTCATGGACATTCTGGCCAAAACAAAGACAACTTCCAGAGCTAGTAATTCACATTTGAATCTTAATAATTGAAAGGTGAGAGTGTGGAAGAATGGAGTTGGTGTAACCTTAGTGACAAGAACTGTCTTGGAATCGGATTCTCTGTGTGGTTTGCATAACATTCCATAATTTTCTCTTTCATAGTGCAAACCTCTGAGACAGTATTCAACCATTGTTGCAAATCTATTGATTGGTTTACCCAATTCTTTGGTGATGGATCTAATTTGAATATTGGCTCTCATGAGAAGAATTAAATCTAATTTCATATTCTTGAACATTTCTTCAATGATATTGAATAAATCTTGAGCTTTGTGTTTGCTGCCTGGGAAGAAGGTTTCTCTAATATTGTTGAACATCTTCTTGACTTCATCTTTTGACATGTTCTTTCTTTGATCGACCATTGCTGTTGAACTCTTATCCATATAATTGGAGAAGGTCAAGAAGAGACCAAAGAGAGGATAGTACTTTCCATCAATTCCAAACTTTTCAGTGTAGAGTTTGAGATTTTCATGATCTCTGAAAATAGCTGCCTTCCACAAATTACAATAATCCTTTCTAGTTTCTTCATCCAAGTGTTTGTAACATCCATGATCCAGGTAGACAACTTGTGCCCTGTTTGTTTTTGGTGATCTTCTCACAAGCAAGTTACCATTGTGCATGTCAGAGTGAATAAATCCATGAACAAATGTCTGAATTGAATAACTGTCCACAATCAATTGACTTATTTCCTTAGCATCAATTCCCAACTTTTTCATTCCTTCAAAGTCGTTCAATTTTACTCCTTCAATAAAATCCATGGTTAAAATTCTCTTACTGGTCAAATTCCAATGCACATATGGTGAATCAATTTGATCATTTGGATAATCCTTGAATATTGTTTTGAAATGAGTGCAATTGGCTGCTTCATTGACAAAATCCAATTCACTGATCAAAAACTTTTCAAATTCAGGTAAACACCATGAAAATGGGAAATCGAAAAACTTCTTTGTGGACCACATCAAGAATTTCATAGTGTTCAAATCAGATTTGAACATTTTCTCCAAGTTTGGATGTTGTACCTTGACAGCAACCTTCTTTCCAGATTCTCTCAATACTGCCTTGTGAACTTGAGCAATACTGGCGCTGGCAATTGGTTCTTTTTCAAAGTAGGAAAATATTTCTTCGAAATCCTTATCAAAATCTTCCTTCAAAATCTTTTCAGTCACTGAAAAATCATGTTGTTGACACTTGTCTTGTAAAACAGAAAGTGTTTCTGTAAATTCCTTTGGAATGGCATAATTGAGTGAGGCAAGATATTGACCTGCTTTCACATAGGCACCAGCATTAACCAAACACAAGTCCAATAGCAAGTTGGCTGCCTTCAAATTAGTCTCTCTTCTTGCATTAATATATTCTATCAATATTTTCTCTTCCTCCTCAGCAGTATACTTGTTGGTTGAAATATCCTTCAATTGTTGTTCAAATCTCTTATTCATTTCTCTATAAGCTTGAGCTACTTGTGTAATTGAAATACATGAAGTGACAAATCTCTTCAAAATACTCCAAGTATCATTATAGGAATCCAAAATCAAAAAGAATAGTGCTGATTTATCACGTCTCGATTCCTCATCAAAATCTACCAATAAACCAGGTGGAATACAAATTGCCAACAATGTTAAAACTGCACTGATTGATAGGAATAGATATTTGGCTAATTTCTTGACCAATTTAAAGAAGGAGAATTTAGATTTTTCACCAGAAGATGATGATTGATTAGTATTGTTATTATCAAAAGATGATGATGAATAATTTCTCTGTTCATTATGTTGATAATTTAAATTCGGAAATTTAAATGATGGTGAAGAATTGACTTTTGCATTATTTACTTGAATTGCACAACTGAATCGTGAATATCTGGCTGATAAATAGGATGATGAAGACAAGGAAACACTTCTATTCGATAGAAAATTCCTTGAAAGTTTGTTAGCACCAACTCCGAGCACTCTCAATTTACTCAACATTTTTCTTCTAATTATTTAATACTAATCCAATTATATAATTGTAGTATTGTTATTATTAGCTTTTTCTACTGTGCAATAGAGTATAGCACAGATGATGTGTTTGGATTTTTGTTTTTTTGATTGAAATTATTACAGAGATGATGAAGGAGATTAAAAGACGGACAATTTGAGAAAATTACTCCTCACTTTATCATTTGATTCGAAAGAATGGGAGATTGATTGAATGAGCATTATGACGAGGACACTTAATGAAAGAATTGAGAGGACGTAGATTTGCGAACAAGTGCTATTAGAATCCCTAATGGACATTTTGAATTTGAAAAATTAAGTGTTTCAGACAATCAATTTGGACCAATTTGTACTCATTACAATGGAGTAGGACTTTCTATTAGGTCAACTAGTTTCAAAATATCACCATGTTGGTAAAATGGAAATTTAGATCCTGATAGGATCACTAAATGACCTGATATTGTAGATGTTGAGATCAAGTTAATTCAACTGTTGTGAAACAATATGAAAGCATACGACCTTTTTCTGATGTAGTCAAAGTTCTTAATAAGCTTATTAAATGATACCAATTGTATTTCAATAAGAGAGGTCAACAAATACCCAAGACCCATATGTGTTCGTCCAATTTATGATATTGCTCCAACATATCCAATGAGTTTCCTCAATGAGATGAGAGCTTAAAATGTTAAGGAGGTTTGTGCAAAATTTACTGTAAAGAAATTGGATAGGTAATACCAAGTTCAAATCAGTTCACAATTCCATCTACAGCGCATTCAAGTAACACGTACGGCAGCAGTTTGTGAAATCTTCCTTCATGAGACTCAATGTCAGATCTTACAGACCAATTCTTTGTAAACTATGAAAATATAGAAGGTAACTTATTGAAATAGCCTCTTTCTATTTTGGCATTTAATTCACAAAATAATAAGCTGTTGGTAATTTATAGCATTCAACAAACAAAGGGTTCATGGCGAACAGGCAATTAATATTCTGACATCCTAAAATCTAATATTATCATTTATTAAAAAAATTTCACACAAGCCATAATGGACATTTTGACTTCCAAACCAGAAAACACTCTGGATATTGAACAACCAATATCTAAAGGTACGTATTGAATGTTATCTTTTGGATCCACTAACAAATCTATTAGAGTATGGACAGTCAACCAAGACAACTAAAGTATTGCCTACAGCAGCCATTATACTTGGTTTGGTATTGGCATCTTTGATTCTTGCCACAGTAGCCATCACTACTCTTGGTTTCTCCTCTCAAATTCCACTTTTATTCTCACTCAGAGAATCAGAAATTCCATCCACAGATTCTGCTGCAACTGCCGAATCAGCAACTTTAACACAATGTGATTATGCCATTTTGGGTGGTGGTATTGCTGGTGTGTTCACTGCTTATCAACTTGCCAAAGCTGGTAAACAAAATATTTGTGTTGTTGAAGCTACTAGCAGACTTGGTGGAAGATTGGAAACTTTCACATTGGGCAACTCGAAGAAGTATGACCTTGGTGGTGTCAGAGTCAATAATCAACACACTGTCATGAAGAATCTTGCTGCTGAATTGAATATTAACTTTACCAGTGGTTACTATGTTGATAAATATGAAGCACAAGCTTTGGGAATTCCAAGTAATGTCTTGATGGTTTCCAGAGGTGTCAGAACTGATGATAAGGAAATTCTCAGAGCTCAAGGTTATCCTTTAGCAAGTGGTGCTGTTAGTGGATGGGATGTTTTACTTGATACTGGAAGCGCTGCTTTCCAAAATTCACCACTTCAAGATACCTTCTCATATACTCAATCTGGATTGGGAAGTGCTGAGGAAATGTCTTATTTCATGTCAACATTTAGATTTAGAGGTGATTTCCAAGCAGTTGATAGAAAGACCTATGCTGAATTTGCTTTGGCTGACTCAGTTGACCCATTGAACTTTTATCCAATTGGTGGAATGGGTGAATTTGTTAGAAAGATGACCCTTGCTGCTCAACAAACTGGTAGAGTTACTTTCTTCATGTCTGAAAGTGTCAAGTCAATTGATCTTTCTCCATTCTCAACTTCAAGTGTCAAGAAATATTTGATTGGAACTTCATTAAGATTCATTCATGCCAAGAATGTCATTATTAACATTCCTCCACAAGCTTTCAAACAAGTAACTGGTCAATTCGGTAGTGCTTTGAACGCTTCTCCTGCCTTGAAACAATCCAAAGCTGTTCCAGTTGTGACAATCTTGTTGAGATTCGCCTCAAGATGGTGGGAACAAGTTAGCCCAGCAAGAAGAATCTGGACTGATTCAAATTGTTTACAATATCTTGAAATTCCACTCTCTCCACAAGGAAAGGAAACCAATGCTTTCAGAGCTGCCTATGCTGATGGTCACTGTGCTAAGGAATGGAATGATTTATACGAAATGGGAGGATCAGCACTTGTTCAAACAACTGTTATGAATTATTTGAAGGAACTTTATCCAAACACAACTATTCCTACTCCAGTTGAATTGGTCTACAGATTGTGGAATGATGCTTGGTATTTCGAACAACCTAGTGCTACTCTCTCAATTGACCAAAAGCAACAATGGGCTTTGAATCCGATTACTGGTGAAAAGATTGTGTTTGTTGGTGAAGCATTCCATTTGGAACGTACATGGTCTGTTGGTGCAGTCAAATCTGCCATTGCTGCTTTAAACACAAAATTGGGTGTTTCCACTAATTATTAAATAAACAATCTTTATTCGAAATCTTTATTTTTCAATCAATATTCAATCTTTCTAAAGCTATTTCCAATTCTTGAGCTTGTTGCTCAATTCTTTGATATTCACCATTGATTTTTTGCATCATTCCCTTCATAAGTTCAATTCTCACTTCAAAAAGCTCATTCTGACCTGCATGCATGGACAATTGTGTAAATTCCATCTCAACTTGTTTCATCTTTTCACCAAAAAGCTTCATTTTCATGGTTATTGCCTCTATTTCACATGTGAGAGCTTCCACATTTCTTTTCTTTGTTTTGATCATTTCTTGTAAGAGTGTCGAATACTTTTCAATATTTAATGATGAAACATTTTGATCAACATCGGAAAGTGCTTGATTGATCTGTTGTTCCAAAGTGTTGGATTTTGGATGAATCAATTTTGAATAATTTCTTAAAACTACATGCCAAAATGAAGTATTAGAATCAGCCAAGTGATGAATTGATTTATTGAGTGAGAGAATAGTTGCCAAGTGCTTGAGTGAGAGAAAGGAAAATATTTCAATTTGAATCTCGGCAGGAAGCGAACAAAAACCTTCCATTTTTTTCAAAATTTACTTCTAGATTTCCAAAAGAATTTACTGATCTGAGAAGAATATGAAAGGTTGACTCTTGTTTGGAAGTGTTGGAGAGCTACATTGCAATGTAGAAGAGTTCAATTATTAGGACTAAAATTCATGAACATATGAATTATTTCATTAAAAATGATTATACACGTAAGTAATGACGTCAAAGTTCGCAACATGAAAAAAACAATAAATAAAATTTGGTGTGGGAGAGAAAATTAAAACAATTTTTAAAAAAAATAGAAAAACGAAAATTAATTTTGATTCGGAATCTCTCAATTTTTTTTATGGAGATAAAAAGTGAGGATAGAGAAGAATTTTGAATATATAGATAGGTTTAGAAAATGAATGATTTGATTGTGGTTGATCAACTTCCGATCGAAATTCAATTTGAAATATTTGAATATTTAAATATTCTTGATGTGATGAGGGGTTTTACGGCATTGAATAAGAAATATTGTGCCATGGTTGGTAGATATTTACTGATGAATGATTACATGATCGGAAGGTACTTTCATCAGTTGGCAGTTTCCAATTCCTTTTCTTATATTTCCAAGTTGAATGAAAAGAAACAAATTGAAAGTGAATTGTTTAATGATGGATCGAATTTTCCATATCTCATTAGAATTGCTAGTGGTGAATATCAAGCAATTGGAGAATTGGATGGTTTAAAGTGTTTGGAGAAATTTGGACCAAATCTTATGGGAATTATGATGAAATATCTGATGGAAAGTATTGAAGATGATTCGAGATTTGAAGACGGGGGTAGAGCGCTATCTTTGAATTTGTGGAATATTGATTTTTCTCATTTGAAGAGTGAAACTATGAAGAAATCTCTGTCATCTCTTGAAAAACTGAACCATTTGGTAAGATTATATCTTAATTGTGGACCAGCAACAGTTGATTATACTCAAAGTGATTCCCCTTGTTTGAATGTGCTTGCCTTTATGAATTCAAATTTGAAAAATAGTTTCTCATCACTGAGAGAATTATACCTGACTGGATATATTGGATCGTCGCCACATGAAATCAATTCAATTGTTAACAATTTGGAAAATTTGGAAAAGATACACATTTCATTTAGTGTGGAATTTAATAAGAATACGACCCAAATTAATCCCCTTGAAGCTCCAAAAAGTTTAAGGGAGAAATTATCTCACATTTCATTGATAAATGTTCCAGCAAGAGCAACTCGATTATTTTCAGTGATTGATATTTTCGAAACATTTGAAAATTTGAAGTATTTCGAATATCATGAAGTAGAAGGAACAGGCGGAGTAAATATTAATATCAAGTTTGATGATTATGACAAGGTAATTGAAAAGTTTAGTAAGACAAAATTAGAAACTCTCATTTACAGACCCAGTGAGGCTCACCAAAGACAAATAGCAATTTCAGCCCAAAGACAAGAATTAATAGAAGAACTATTGGAGAATATAAACAATTCAGATTTCCCAATCCTATTTCCCAACATGAAGAACATTGAAGTGTCAGAATATGAAATGGACAGGGAATGTAAATATGATGCTCTCACTGCAGTGATTTATTACATTCTTCCTAAAATTCAAAGTGGAGGATTACTTGAAAGAATTCATGCTCCATCGGATTGTTTGGAAATTGCTACCATGTTGAACTGCAATAATACTACTATTGAATTACAATTGGGGTCATCACCACCAGAGCTCTCAAATTTGATAGTTACTACAGGCTACAGACCTAAAAGAAAAAATAGATTTGGAGTCCCAAAAGAGATCTTTTCGCAATCCTTTGACAAGTTGAGGATTTTGACATTTGAAAATCTAGGTTCGATGGATTCACACATTTTATTGTTGATAGGGAGGAATTGTAAGAGTTTGAATTATCTCAGAATGACAAACTGCGATTTCCTTAATGTTGAAAATCCGAATATGAAGCAAGAATTATTTCATTCTCTGGTTATCAAAACAATTGCCATTCAAAATTGCAATAATGTTCCTGTGTGTAATTTGGTTAACTTGATGATTTGTAGTTGTGATACATTGGAATATGTCATTATGAAAGGCTCATCTATTGCATCCAATTCACTGAATGTTTCAATGAATGGAGGCGTGCCTGTTGAGATGAGAAAGTTACATACTCTGCTATTTCCTAAATCTGTCAACATTCAGGATATTTATATTGATATGATGAACTATATTAGCAGATCATGTCGATTATCTTCGTTACATCATTTGGATGTCTATGGAACTGTGGATGATTCAGTGGTAAGACTATTCGAAAATAATTCAGCAATAGTGTCTTTATCCCTTAACGTAGCGGAAATAATTGACCCAAGTGTGTTGGATATTATCAACGAAAGAGGAATTAAATTGAAAGAATTAGAAATTGAAAAGAATGTTAACTTGGATATTTTATTGGGATTATCTAGTAGATGTACTTGTTATTTGACCTCTTTGAAACTTCTTGGATCTAAAATTGAAAACAATAGTCAAGTTTTAAAGATATCAGAGATGGTCCTTAATGCCAAGAGTACTCTACAAAAAGTTTGTTTGAAATTTGAGAAGAATGTCAAACTTTTTCCAATACTTCAAGCTTTGAAAGGTAGTAAAAGCATGAATGTTCTCATATTTTCAGCACCTTTTGCTGTTGATTTTAAAGCAGATTTCACCTATGATCAGTTATTGGAATTTATTTTGGCATGCCCAAATTTAAGTATTGTTCATTTGAGTATGGTACCTCATCCATCCACAATAAGCTCATTGAAGGAACTTATGGTTGAGTGCAAGAAAAAATGTACCCAAGAAGTACCAAATATTATGATGCCAAATACAAGTTTTGAGGCACCAAATAATAATAATACAGGTGGTTGTATTGTGGCATAGAATAATTTTACTTTATGTAGGAACTACATTTTTGTTTGAAAGCATCACTACAATTATAAGTTAAGGCGATATTGAGCAACATAATGGCGAATTCTTGATCAACCTCATCCATACTAGTCAACTGGGACATTATTTGCAATTCACAAAACTTCTTCAATGGATACAGTAAGAATAAATCGGAGGCAATCAAACATTCAACATAGGTTTGAGGAATCAATTGATAACTATCACTTCCTTCAGATTTAGCATCAATCTTCAAAATATTTTCTCCACAATAAATAAATCTAAGAATCAAACTCAATGTGCTGTAAGATAAGTTTGGAATTTGGATTGATTTGACCTCCTTATTGAAAAGTTCCATATCGTTGGTCCACTTTAGATCTTCACATTTGACAAGGCACTTTGGAGAAGTTTCATATTTGAAAATCTTTCTCATGTACTCACTTCTAGCCGAGAGAATACATCTATGACAGGCCATACCTCCCATTTCTTGAGCGCTAATGAGCCATGATGATTGGAGAGCATACTTCTCGTCACCCATAACTTCTGTATCGACTTGACCCAGCTCATTTCCTTCAGTGCTCATCAACACATCAAAATCATCAGTTTTTCCTCTTGCAATAGATTGAAAAACATTTGTAAAATCTTCTTCTAAACCTCCTGTGTGACGAGCATGCTCTTTGATTTGATCCTTCTTGTGATGGAAAAATTGAACATTGTCTCTTTCTTGATTTTCCTTGAAAAAGAAATCCATCTCTTGCTTTAACAAATTTTCGTCAAACTCGTCAAAGAGTGAAGTGTCAGCATTCAGAACTATTATTTCTTTAAAATTCAATAATCTTTCAATATTGGTTTTTGTACTCGCATTCTTTAAGGATTCTAATAAAATTTTAATGCCACCCTTTTCAAATGTCTGGTCAATTGAGAACTCCATATCAGAGGTGTCCTCACCAGCATTTGCAAGTTTGTCTACCTCGCTTTTCCACTCATCCTTCAGATGTTGAATATCTGATTGTGTGAAAATAAGAGAGTCACAGTAGAGGAGCTGGCAAAACTTTTGTAAAACAAACTTTCCAATACCTTGGTCTCTTTTCAATAGATAGAATCCAGCTTTTTGGTTCTCAGATTTGTCAAAATTCCATTTCACAAAGAATCTATCTAAAAATTCATTTGTTCTAGCATTAATGATTGAACTGTGTAAATTCAAATCAAAGTCGGAAAGTGATAAATTGAGGCTTGGATTGGTATTATTCTCTAAAAACATTTCAAAACCTTTTTGTGACCATTCAGTAAGTGGAAGATCAACAAAACCCAAAAATACATCACAAGACTGTAACCCAAAACTATCCACTTCTTCTTCCTCATCAGTTGTTGCACTATTCAAGTGTCTATTGGCACTCTTAAATAAATCTGTCAAATCTGAGGAGAGTGAAAGTTCAGAGCTCAATAATTCAATAATTTCATTCATGTGATAAATAGCACTTTCAATTTGTTGGTTTGCCTCCAATCTAAGTCTATAAAATCTGGCAATTGGACGTTCAGTAGTATTGGTGCTTTTATCTGTGAAAAACAACTCCAAAATATTAGTAAATCTCTGAGCTACAGTCCACATTGAATAAATGACACCAGTTGTGATCATAACAGCTCTAGCCCTTGTATGCTCAGCCATCTTGTACAAAATATAGGAAATATCAGAAATAGTCTCTTCCAATTCTTTCCAAGGTTTTTGCTTGACAGACCCTTCCGTTAAATCATCAAATGTATATGAAGCAAGTTGATTAAATAATAGACAAATCATCTTTAGCCCTCCACATCTGAATACATCATTCTTATTTTGCCTCATTCCTATAGTATTGGAAATTCTATGAATTACATCCTTCAAATTTTCTACAAAGTCCAAATTTCTTTTCATCAAAGCCTTTTCATTATTTAGCAAATCTTTTAATTGTTCTACAACATGACATCTATAGACCATATCACTCATCGGACTCGATGATGGTCTAGTCACTGGAATTTTGGTAAAATTAGTGATGAGTTCCTCGGTCGATGATGTTGGTGTATCACTGATCATTTTATGTTGTGTATTTTTTTGCTTTTGGGATTTTGTAACACTCTTGAACGATCTTGCTGTTTGATTTCCCATTTTTTTATTCGCATCTGAAATTGAACTTCTTTAATTACATTCGATATGGATTGTGAATGTTTGAGACTATTTAGACAATTTATGGATCTTGTCTGAGAATTTGTTCATTTTGTGATTGCATTAAAAGTGAAAGAATCCAATAACTAATAATAATCAATTTTGCTTATTATTATTATTTATGAAGAGCTAGTCTGAGGGCAGCAAATGTTTTCTGATAAGGTAATCCCATCACTGTATGATAATCTCCTTCAATGGATAAAACAAAAGCAGATCCCATATCTTGAATACCATATGCTCCAGCTTTATCCATTGGTTCCTTTGTTTCAATATATTCCTCAATGAGCTCTGCTGAGAGTGTATCAAACAAAACAAGAGTTTCCGAAGCAAATGAAATAAGTTTCGGTTCAGAAGCACAGTTACTCGTGTTTTTAATGTAGATTGAAACACCAGAAATGACCTTATGCTTATTTCCACTCAACATGTTCAACATATTCCGAGCTTCATCAGTACTTGCTGGTTTTTCCAATATTTCCTTTCCATACACTACAATACTATCACTTCCAATCACTATTAAATTATCGAACGAATCCTTCATAGAGTTGAACACTTGTTCAGCCTTCAATCTCGAATTTTCCATCACAAAATCGTTTGGTGTTTCAAACTTGCTTTTATCTAACGATTTTTCATCAAAAGTCGATGGAATGATAACAAAATCCTTTTCAAATTCTAATCCTCCATTCTCTATCAGAATTTTCTTTCTACGAGGTGATTGAGAAGCCAAAACTACATGATATTTATCAACAAGTTTTCGGAGCATTTTTTCAAAGAGTTTCATATGAAGTTTCATCAATAAATCTCAACTCTGGGTCATCAAGAAGATCATTATATTTTCTTCTTATGGTCATAAAAATTATATTGTTAATTTGTAGCAAAAAACAACATCGGCAGAACAGAATGGTTTAGATAATAAAATTGTATCAATGATCTTGTTGCAATTAATTTTTTACCGCCTTGGCTGGAGTTGTAAAGCAGAAAACACTCAAAAAAAATATTTTAAACATACAACGATAAAACCACCTTCTCGCGTTCACGGGTGTTTTTCGTTTAACCTCCACTTTCATTTTTCTCTAATTCATCATCATCATCATCATCATCATAAATATAAATAATGAGTGAAAGAAGGGCAGCTGTCTCAGACGAAGAATTCGAAGAAGAGGAAGAAGAAATTTCTTGGATTAGTTGGTTTTGTACACTCAAAGGACATGAGTTTTTTTGCGAAGTAGACGAAGATTATATCCAAGACGACTTTAATTTGTGTGGTCTTCAGAATGAAGTCCCTTTTTTCGACTATGCCCTCGACATGATTCTAGATTTAGAGTCTCCAATGGATGAAGAACTAACAGATGAACAACAACAATTAGTTGAATCAGCAGCAGATACTCTCTATGGACTTATACATGCCAGATTTATTCTCACTAACCGAGGATTGGCACTAATGGAAGAAAAATACCGACAGGTACATTTTGGAAGATGTCCACGTGTAAATTGCCAAGGACAACCTGCTCTTCCAGTTGGACAATCTGACAAAATAAGAGAATCTTCTGTTAAAATCTATTGTCCTAGATGTAATGATATCTATTACCCTAGATCAAGTAGACACAGAGGCATTGATGGAGCCTACTGGGGAACAACATTCCCTCACCTATTTTTAATTCAATATGATACTTTAATTCCAAAACCTCCAACGGAGGTGTACATCCCTAAAGTTTACGGATTCAAAGTTAATGGCTACAAAAATTATAATGTTAGAGCCTTAAGACAAGAAAAGAAGGAAGAGCAAGAAGATAATACTAATGGATCAGCCAATACATCATCCAAATTTTAAAAAAATTAATTTTGTACCTTAATTAAAACTAGATTTATTACTTCCGCCAGGTCGGAACTATTCTATGTGAAATCATTCTCACATCCATTGCTAGAGGCCTTGAATCAGATTTTGGTTGTGCCATTTGTTCCCTAATTTCAACTTCTCTATTAATGTGTGCTTGTGTGGGTTTGAATAATCGATCTGAATTTTGTTCAACATCTACCTTAACTTTTTCTTTGAGCTTATTAAGACGTTCCTCTTTCTCTTTAGCCTCCTTTTCCTTTTTAAGCTTCCAATCTTGTGCTCTCTTGAGATATTGTTCCTCTCTTTCCTTCACTCTGGCAACTTCTGCAGCAGATGGAGGTCTTACCTTTCTACTCAATTCTTCCACTAGGTGTTTCTGTTTCAGCTTTTGTTTTTCTTCCTTGATTTGTTTGTACTTTTCAATTTGGTCTTTCTTTTCTTCCTTTTTCTTCTTTTCCTCTTCACTGACTTTTTGCTTTCGTTCTAGTTTCTCTCGTTCTTCTTGCTGTTTTCGATCTCGTTCCATATTCTCTCTTTCTACCTTCCAAGCTTCTAATTTCATTTTGGTCAAGACTTGTTGTCGTTTGGCATCTTTCTTTCTTTGTTCTTCCTCCCTTTCTAATTGTTTAACCTTGTTTTCTTCCTCGATTTCAATTTGTTCGTCTCTCTTTTTGGTTTTTTCATCCTTCCACTTTTGGATGGCATTCTTTTTCTGGTTGAGTAAAATGACGTATTGTCGATAGAATTCCTCATGCTCCTGTATTTCAATAATACTTCTCGTTTTAATTTCCTCAACACATTTCGATATAAATAATTGTGGGTCAGTAAACTTGCTCCTCAATTTTAAAAAGAGTGAATGATCTTCAACATCCCAATTTCCAGTCAACCCTCCATGTTGAGATACATAATTCTAATGAAATGAACATGAAAATTATGAGCAAATAAACTTACGTCAAAGTCAATAACTTCTTGTGGAACTTTGTAATTTTCTCTCTTCTCCAAATATTGCTTGACAGCTTTCATCTTTTCTGGATTATCAAAAATACTCTCTGCCTCCTCTTTCTCTTTCAACCAATTCGGATCATCAATTAGAGCCTCTATCGAAGCTATATCTTTCATTAAAATCTTTTCCTCGGTATTAAGCGTTTGTAAACTATAATTGTTAATTCTATCCAAAATCAGTTCATATCATCCACTTACATTTGTCTCCTAGTTTGTTTAAATACTATACACTGATTTTCAATCCTTTCCATTGTGGATGTGATCTTTCTGAGAGCCTCTTGTCGCTGATCTTCTGACAGATTCTCATTTATTAATTTATTTTCCTGAGTCATTCTTTTCAAGGCAAAAACTCTCTTACTGACATCTTGAATATCCTCCAAGCATTCCTTCTTTTCCTCCAATTGTTTTTGTCTATTTATTCCTTCCGTTGATTGCATTTCATTCAGTAAATCTTTCATATCACCCATTCTCGGATTATTGATAAAGTGATTTGCAATTTCCCTCTTAAAATTTTCCTCCCTTATTTCGACAACAATACACGATCATGAATATTCCGCATAATTATTCAACCTACTTTGCTTTTAACGCTTTATATTGGCTCAACCACAGCACACGAGCCTGTTTATCACCCTTGGTGATTGGTGCACTAGTTGGTCGACTCATTTTTTATTAGAAAATTTGTACAAAATTTTGGCGCCAAAACTGGTATCTGCCTTATCAGACATACAACAATATTAAGAATCAACCAAGTGGAACATCTCTTATCACAGCATGAATATTTCTCAATATCTTATCTTCAATTTTATGTCAATGAGAAAGCAAATGCTTCAAAGATCATGAATGAAATTTGAAAAGTTTTAAAAGGTTTTCTTTTGGCGCCAAACAAATTCTACAGAAAGAAAAAAATGTTGAATCCAACCTTTCAAGTAAATTTGGGACACCCCATCACGAAGGGAACTGTAGCAGTAGGAAAATGTAAGTGCTTTCATCAAAGAAGTTACGGAACGATAATGCTACTATTCATTGATTTATTGGTCAATGATGGACCTGAATTGGATTGATTAAATTGTATTTCAATGTTGGATTGTATGAATTTTGTATATGAAAACTAGTCGATGGAAATAGACCTTGTCTTGCTGCTGGTACTAGTTCGGGTAAGGTGATGGTACACAATCCTCATGAAACAAATCAAGGAAATCAATGTAGGTATCCAATATTGAAGAAATATTAGTAATATTCTTTCAAAATAGTAACCTTCTTGAATGTCAATAAGGACGTTAATTGTGTTGCCTCTGGCGCCTTTAAACAAGGAGTCAGAAGAGAAACCTTGATGATTGGTACTCAAACCAATTTGATGGCCTATAATGTTGATACAAACTCGGATATTTACTACAGAGATGTTCAAGATGGTGTAAATAGAATGATTTTCGGAAAGCTTGGATCACATGCAAATCCACTTGTTTTTGTTGGTGGAAATTGCTCAATTCAAGGTTATGATGGAGATGGTGAGGAACAATTTTGGACTACTGCAGGTGGTGATGTCACCTCTTTATGCTTGGCTGATGTTAATGGTGATAATGAGAATGAATTACTTGTAGGATCTGACGATTATGTAATATATATTTATCAAGACGAATCAATTATTGCTGAATGTAAAGAAACCTCAGCTGTTACAGAGCTTTGCGATTTGAATGGTGGAAGTTTTGGATATGCTTTATCTAGTAATACTTATGGATTATACAAAGGATCAAATAGAATTTGGAAAAATAAGTCTAAGAGTGCCGTTAATGGTATGGTTGGATACGACATTCTTAAAGATGGAGTTCCAGATATTATTGTTGGTTATAATAGTGGAAAACTTGAAGTAAGAAAACAAGAAGATGGTAGATTAATTCACAAAGATTCTCTCAAGGAATCTGTCGCTGGTTTAATAGTAGCTGATTATAGAATGGATGGTCATGATGAATTGATTTGTTGTTCTGTTAGTGGTGACCTTAAGGGTTATGTACCAGCTCAGGAAAATCTTACAAAACAAGTGGAAGATTCCTCTCTCGATGAACTAATTGAAAAACTCATTCAAAAGAGAGAAGAATTGACCAATGAGCTTAAAAACTACGAGGAAAATCTTAAAAAGCTCAAGAATGGTGATATTGACTCTTCTCTTATTAGATCAGACTCTAAGGTCAAATGTAACTTGAATCCTAATATTCAAGAGAATTGTCTTGATATTGTTTTTAGAACCGATGCGGAAAATATTATCAGATCAGCAATCATTACCGCAGAACAACTCTTCCCAACAGATACCAGTATGGTCTACTCTAAGAATCCATCGAATGAAATTAAGGTCAGTTTGAGACCGGAAAAGAACATTGCAGTGGAAATGAGAATTCAAGTTATGGTTGGTTTCAACTTGGGTTCTAAATACCACATCTTCAACTTGAGTTATACACTTCCTAGATTTGCAATGTACATACCAGGAGAACATCCTAGACCTCCAAAATCTGTTCTCAATTTCGTTCTAGGTGAAAGAGTTAAGAGAATTATTATGTGGTTGAATGAATCTTTTAACATTGTATTTAAGCTTGAAGGAGAGGCTGATGTGATAGATGCCAAGTTTACAAGTCTGAGGGATGGATCTCCTCTCAGATTACTCTACAAGGACGGAATGATGACTATCAGCGTTGACGATATGGAAGTTGCTGGTGATTTATTCCAAGATGTTTGTGCATTCTTGTCTATCAAGGAATTAGATTCCAAGTGTGACTTCCCAGTTGAATTTGAAAAGTTCGAACAGATTACACAAAGTGTCGAAGAATATAATTCTAACAGATTAAAGATGACTGCTGAAATGGCTGATAGCTCTCAGCTTATTAAGGCCTACGTCATTAAAGCAGAAGATTCCAGAGTGATTGCAGATATGAAATCTGTAAGATCCATGTATAATGAACTCCACAGTGTCAACAAGGGATTGATCGGTGAATACAAGAAGAGAAGTACCAACCACGATCAATTGTTAACTGCATTGAAAGAAGTCAACCAAATGATTCAAAAAGCTGCTAGATTAAGAATAGGAGAACCAAAGAATCGTGTTGTTTCAGAATGTAGAAAGGCAATTAAGAATAATAATATTAGTTCGCTTTTCAAGATTATCAAAGAAGGTCAATAAATGTTAAACAAATGTAATTATTTATAATTCGCAATCAGATCCGTTACTCGACAAGTTATCACAATACTTCTCATCTAACAAGTCGATACGAAGAGGAATCACTTGTGATCTCTTACGATTCATATGATAAACAGATTGAACTGCAAAGCTATTAGATTTTTCTTGTGGAGTAATGGTATCGTAAACACCAAGAGGTGTTTGACCCCTTCCATAGGATGATGTTTCAATTTCAACTTCCTGAACTCTGAGTGAGAAGGTTGAAGTATTTGTTACTGTTTCTGGTTTGTTGGCAGTTGTTCCTTTGTTTCTCCTAATTTTAATGATGATAGTGACTAGTACACCAATAGCAATCAGCAAGAATAAAACACAAGCTACAATGGAAGAAACTACAATGGCAAGCACATAGACATAGGAATGATAGGTCACAACTGTCGTTTCTACAACAAAGACATTTGTAAAACTAACACATGTACAAACCACATGAGTGGTATTTCTTGTTTGTAATGTGCAATCACTTCTCAAGATGGTTGGTGATCCACTTCTGAAATCTCCACAACTGACAGTTGTGTTCTTTTCAGCTAACTCCAAATTGGTAAATTGGGCTGGTTCTTCTTTGTCAGTAATGTTATAAGGAATGATGTAGGAAATCTTACTCCCATGTACTTGAACTGGTAACTCTGAGAAATCAATTGACACTATTCGAGAAATAAGTTTCGAATACGTGATTTGACTTTCAGATTTATGAGTCATTCCCAATCTGCTATTCAGTGAAAACACATCATCTGAAACTGTCAGCACCGAAACGAAAGGTTTCTTCACAATCGTTGAACTTAAAGTAGAAAATGAAAAGAAATAAGAATCGAATACTATTTTACACTCTGAAATAGGATCAATAATAGATCTTAGGAAATCATAAACAGTATTCCTATGTAAAACAGAAGAAAAGAAAGGTCCCTTCTTACTCTTTCCTGTACTTCCAATTACAGAGCTTCTTGCTTGAAGCATGGATACTTTCTTGAGTGCAGCATGTAAGTTATAAGAGTTTGAAGTATGATTGTTGACATATTGACGATCCTTAATATATTTGTAAGCAGATTCAATACAATTATCAAGTAAGGTATCCACACCTACTGAAACTCTCACATTTTCATCTGATAATGCATAATCCAAGATTAAATTCAAATTATTCAATATTTCTGATATAGTACTCGTATCCAAAAATTGATAGTTCACTAACAAGGAATCCATTGCAAATGACATCAAGGACAAATATTCATCACTCATACCATATGTTCTATTCACCACAAACATCATATCTCTCAATATTGAAAGCTTTGTTCCTTGAATATTTGAAAAGTCCCCAATGGAAATTTCACAACGTTGCCCCATCCAACCATCCTTACATTTGCACTCGCCTGAAACTTCAACACCATTAAGGCATATAACAGAAACTTTACGGCTATGACTTCTACTATTGGATAACATGGCCTCTTTCAATAAAACTGCATCAGTTCTTGAAGTGGAAGCTGATTGGTAGATGCTCTTACTGAAATCACCATCTAAGGAATAGGGAATGGATTGATCTTCCCATTTTTGGACAATTGATTGGATATCAGCAAAGTTTTGAATGATTGGTTTGTAAATGGTGACATTGGAATAGGTTGTTGAGAATGCGCCTGTGGTTTTGTCCACAATATCAAAGAAACAAGTGACAGATGTTCCAGTAAAAGGAGATGGCATTTTGGTTGAGTAAACTTCTCCCAAATTGTACATTACAATCTTTGATTGAGATCTATCGTCTATAAAACCATATCTGTAATCAATATTGTTATCAATTGTCTTACAATTTGTGCTACTCGGAATGAATGGCTATTCTGTGTTGACAGACCAGTCTTGGTATCATAGGTAATTATTGTTAAAGAGTTGACTGATCCTTCTTCCAAATTTGAAGAGTCAATTAGGATGGTATTTGTTTCCATTCCTGGAGAAGCTTGTTGGATAATGGAAGAAGAATCAACAATCTTACCATTCAGAATCCATGTTGTGTTCGAAGAGTTTGAAATTGTCAAAGTTTGAATCGGAATGAGCTGACCTGGTAAAATGACATTTGAAGGTGGTTCAATATTTACAATATTTACAAGAGGAGGAATATTGTTAAAGTTGATGGTTGTTGATTTTTGAACACTTCTTCCATCACTCTTTCTAATTTCCAAAGTTAAAATAATGGAATCAGCCCTTGTTTCCAATAATTTAGAAGAAATTGAAAATTGTAAAGATTTTGATTTGGACAAATTTTGTATTGTTAAGAGTTGAGGACTTTGATTGGATGAAGTCCATTTCCAAACTTCTGTCGATTCTTCATTATATAAAGCTTCTGGATCTACATAATCAATTTGTAAAGTGGTCAACTCACTTGTAGATTCAGTTTGTAAAATATTCAATTCCAATTTTGGTGAATTTGTACTCAAAGTCACATTCAAAGAAACTTTAGCACTTATTTTGTAAAATGTTGAAACTCTAAATAGGTATGTGTAATTTCCAAAGACTTTCAACTTTGGAATATGCAAATTATTGAAAGTATCAATAGTGTGATTGATGAAAGGTCCACTCAATTGGGTCCATTCAATATGGAGAACATCTTGTGAGGATTTACATGAAGAATCACTCACAATCTTCTTCAATGTTATTGGAAACTCATTCGAATACTTTTCAATCACTGTTTCTCCCCTATACATGGTCAACATTGGAAGTGGTGAAGTTGCCTTTGTGAAAATTGGAGAAACAGTTATAGAACTATTGATTTTCAAGACAGTATTCTGAACTATCAATCCCACTCTATAAGATCCTGATGGAATACTCGATTCTAGAGTAATGATTGGTTGGTGAGGGAAGTTATCTGCAAGTAAATTCATTTTCGAATCAAATAACAACCAATAATATATTAATGGTCTCCCATCTGCTGAGTGACTTGAAGAACCATCTACTGAAATGGCTCCACATGAACTGAATTGGTTGACATTTGGCATTGTAATTACTGCCTCGATAAAGTCAACATTCTCTGAAATTGTGGAATTATTTGATTCCAAAGCTCTGTATTGATTATTCCTATCTGAAACTCTTTCATTACACGCAATACCTTTCCAACCCAATGTACAAGTACAATTATTCAACGATTCACAATATCCACTTCCAGAACAAACACTTGTTGAATCTGACCTTATACCAAAACATGTGGTTATAGAACAGGAATCTCCTTGAAATCCATTTGAACAAACACATATATCCTCTCCAATACACATTCCCTTTCTAAAATTACAAACTCTATCATCGTCAGGTAGATAGCCACCACATGTGAAAGGTTGATTTTGGGCATTCACATAAAGTACAACTGCAAACCAAGTTGGTAGGAAGAATAGACATACAACTAATATATGAAATATCGATGTATAAATAGTAGTCTTATTCCTCACCATCGATGAAGCAGGTTTTGATGAAGTAATTGATGATGAGTTTTGTGAAATATTAATATTATATTGAGGTGAATGCGATGATTTCAAGCTCCTACTCAATCCCTCACTATTAGTATTACATAAACAATGTTCTCTCCCAGTAGTTCTCCTTATGAAAATTGGCATTTTGCTTTTAGATTGCTAAACGTAGATGAAGCAAATATTAAGCATGCTTATTCTTTTTTGAAAGTGAAAATCATCAAGAGAGATAATTGAATTTTCACCCTTACACCCTCGGAAGAATTCATCCAATAGAAGCTAAGATGTTATTCCTTTCTTCGCAGCTCTTGTTTGTGTGAAAAGTTTGATGTTGTTACACAATTGAAAAATTTCACACACTACTGTTGAACATTTTTGGGTAAAGAGTTTCTGTTGAATGGTTCTTCACAATAGAATGAATAATAATACTTCCTCGAGGAGAATCTTTCCAAGATTTTTTCAATCTATTTAAAGGTTTTTCAATATTGAAATTGTTAAATGTTTTACAATAAAAAAATGCAAATACTCACCTTCTCATGCCATTGTGGTTTCATGCAATGCGAAACAGCACAATCTCCCGAATCTCTTCAAAACCTCCAAGTTCTCGATTGTAATTGTTCCATATGCAAAAAGAAAGGTTTCCTCCATCACATTGTAAGTGAGAGTAATTTTGTATTGAAAAGTCCTTCATCATTGAGTGATTTAGGTTGCTACACCTTCCAGACACATGTGGCAAAGCACTACTTTTGTCCAAAGTGTGGAATTTGTACCTTCTACAAGCCGAGAAGTAATCCCGATGGTTGGAGTGTCAATATGAGATGTATTGTGGATGAATGCAAGGTGGATTATCAGGTGGAAAAGTTTGATGGTGAAAATTGGGAGGAAAATGCAGCTGCTATCAAACATTTATCGGAATAATTATTTTCATTATTAAATTTAATATTCGTTATTGAATTAATTTTATTAAATTATTTAATTTTTAATAATTTAATTGATTTGATGGGAAAATATTTATAGAACTGTAAAAGATAACTGGTCCTTAATTGGTGTGTATTTCTCTTTTATATCCACCACAGTGTTGATTCAATGAATACAGTTAGTTAAAAAAAAATTAGGAACAATCCATTCGTTATCGCATTCTGACAGTTGATATCATCCTTAATATCAACTTGAAATATTAAGAGAGGAATATTTATAATTCTCACATTAATATTTTATTGTTTATTGTCATAGTATTATTATTGTTACATCAAGATTAATTTATTAATTCAAATTTATATTAAGGAAAATCTCCTATTGCGATAGTTGTATTATATAATAGTAATATAATAATTATTATTAAGAATAATTCATCATCATCATTATATCCATCATCACATCAATAATAGTATTAATAGTATATATATTAAATATTAAATTATATAAATTACCATCAAATCAAAATAATATCATCAAACAATGACAACACCAGGATTTGAAGATTCAAAAATTCTCCACTGTGTAATTGCTAAGGGAAATCAAATTCTTAGTGAAGCAACCTATTCATCCAATAAATTAGGAAAGGATTTGAGGTTTGTGATTGAGAGTATGATCAATAGAATACCTCCACTCGATACATTTAATATTAGTATGTTTGAATCATTGCTAATTCCCTTCCTAGTCAAGGATGAAATTACCATTCTCCTACTGTGTGATATTAACTTTAGTAAATATTGTTCAAAGAAGTGTTGTGAGAGGATACGGGATAGATGGTTTACTTGCTATAAATCTAAAGAGTCATATTCAATTCCTCATAAAGAATTTAAGAATTCAATTAAGGAAGTATTGAATTATTATAATAATAATCCACAGAGTGATCAAATTAAGAAATGTAAAAAGAGAATTGAAGCAATTCAGAATGTAATGATATCGAATATTGATAAATGTATTGTAAGAGCAGATGAGTTGGATTTACTAGTGGATAAAACTGAAACTCTTTCCAATGAAAGTATCGATTTTAAGAACAAGACTAGAAAATTGGATAATGCAACAACGTGGGGTTTCTTTGCACCTGTAGTTGACTTTTTCTATGAAACTTTCTATACGGATGAAAAGTAATTGTAAATAAAATTCATTGTAATTGTAATTAAAAATTAATAAAATTTAAAAAAATGAAACAAGATGGAAATTAATGATATGAGTAGTGAAGATTTTCCTTCTATTGCTTCCTCTTTAGATTTACAAACACCTGCAGTAGCATCAACATTATCGGAGAAGGAGGAAATTAAACAATTAGATTCGAATGTTGCAACGGAACAAGAAAATATAATAGAACAATCAATGTCATCATCGATGGAAAATTATCCAACACTCTATCAAACCTTGGAGGATTATCTATTTCGTGATTATCAAGTGGAAAGTAATTTGAAAGAATTGGATATCATGGAGAATGCACTCACTTCAATGAATACCACAAGTGCCAATCAAAAAGTTCAAATACAGAAGAAATTGAAAAAGATTAGAAAATTGAAAACCTTCCTCAATCAGTATCAGATTGTTTGTAGGAATTTTCTGCAGTCAGCTAAAATGAATTCCCTCTCTGATGTCAGTATTGAAGGAATACTTGCTAATAATAAGGTGAAACAAGTAGGATTGGAAGGTCACGTTGAATCTCTTCATCAAGCATTTCACAACAAATTTGTACGTGAAAATCTGCTACCATTCATAAGGAAATCACTCCTTCAACAAGCCAAACAAAATGTAGAACGAGATAAACTCTATCAATCCATTGGAACAACAGAGGAATTGTTGCTCTTGTATCAACTCAAACACGGAAGCAATCCGAAATTACAACTTTCCAAAGATTATATTATGGAGAATGCAGATAGAAAATTGAGTAATTATATGAAAGAAATTGATGAATGTTTCAATTCGCTTAATAAATAAATATTTCAATTAGTCTTATTTCATTATTCAATTCCATTTGATGAATCATTAAGCATAAACTAAAGAGTAAACAATTTATCGTTGAAAATTGAAAAGAGTGCAAATTAATTTATTTACTGAATGAGTACATTTCGTCAACAGTTCTACCTCTGACAACGTGTGGACCAACCATGACATCTTCAACGAGTTCGTGGAGAGGTGGGAGTGGAGCAGCAATAGCCTTTTCAGTACCTTGTTGAACTTCTTCCTTAACTTGGTTATCAATTTCCTTCAATTCATCTTCAGTAGCAATACCTTGTTCGATCATTCTAGCCTTCAATCTGGCAATAGGATCTCTAGTATTTCTGACTTCATTGACTTCATCTCTGGTTCTGTAAGAAATACCAGGATCAGACATGGAGTGACCATAATATCTGTAAGTTTCTGGTTCAAGAACGATTGGACCAAATTGTTGAGAATATTCCTTAGCATAACGAGCAGCTTCATAGACAGCAATAATGTCCATACCATCAACCCAAATACCTGGAATGAAATCACCTCTAGTGTAGTAATCAGTAGAAGCAGAAGAACGTTGCATGGAAGTACCCATACCATACTTGTTGTTTTCACAGACAAAGATAACTGGAATGTGCCACAACTTGGCCATGTTGAAAGCTTCATAGATTTGCCCTTGCTATTATTTAAATATATATTGAAAAATGTAATAATTATGTGAAAATGCAAATTCAAATTGTTTGTGTTAAAACCATTAATATTGAAACAACTTACGTTAGCAGCACCATCACCATAGAGAGCAAAAGTAACATTCTTATCCTTGGTTTGCTTGTTATTCAATCTATCCAAATAGGAGTGAGCAAAGGCAAGACCAGCACCAACTGGGACTTGAGCACCGACAATACCGTTACCACCAAAGAAGTTTTGGTCAATCTTGTACATGTGCATAGAACCACCCTTACCCTTTGAGCAACCAGTGGCACGACCTAATTGTTCAGCCATGGTGCTTTCAACAGAACCACCTCTACACAATTGGAAACCGTGATCACGATAAGCAGTAATGACAGAGTCAGCACGATTGGTGGCATGTTCAATACCAACACAGATAGCTTCTTGACCACTGTACAAATGGCAGAAACCACGAATGTTACGAGCCTTGTATTGTTGGTCAGAAACCAATTCAAATCTTCTAATCAAAGCCATCATACGGTACATGGCAATCAATTCTTCCTTAGTGAGTTTAACTTCAGACTTTGGACCTTCCCAGTTAATACCTTCCATATGTTTGGTTGGGAGATGGAACTTGAAAGCCTTTTCCTATTATCATTTCATTGTTATTAGTTGGATGATGATGTGATTATAATATGAATTAATAGTTGTATTATTATCAATAATAATATTAGGTAACGTTAATAATAGATATTATCAATTGTTGTTAGGAATGTTTTTTGTATATAATATATATTCATATATAGTTGTTGATGATATGATAGCAATAATGATAGTAGAAATGTATTATAACAATAAGCCAATAAAATCATGATGACGAAAAAATCCAATCAATTTTCAAAAACACAACATTATACAAAAAGTGCATCAAATCCACAACAAACATGTTTTAGCAACATCAAATAACAATACATATAAAAATCATTCATCAGAAAACATCATGATAGAAACAACATATCGGACAATTCTTACCTTATCAATATTGAATGAATAAACTTTGGATTCAAATCTGCTTTGTTGAGCGAACAACATCTTCTTTACAGTTTCAACAGAAGTGATACGTCTGCTAGCAGAGGTACCAGAAACGATTTTCTTCATCATTTTTTAAACAAAAGAAGAAGGTTTTATATTGGAGTTTGTCAAATATTTTTTTGCAAGAAGTCCTCGAAGAAGGGATGAAAGCCAAAAACGTAGCCGAACCTTCAACGCAACAAGATGATGAAGACTAAATGCAAGTCACCCATCTCAAAGCCAAAAGCTTGATAATGCGGAGTCCTTGGAAAGATGAAAAACTGGAATGATGATTACAAAATATTTTACTTTGGCTTGGGAGTTGAATGGATATTGAAAAATTGAAGATTTATTGATAATGAAGAATACTTTCAATATATTGTTTGTTAGAGGAGCTATTGTATTATTGGTCCATGGAAAAAAATCAGCAGCCAAAGAGGCCTGTTGTAGGCATTTCCAAAAAAGCTGCTTATTCCAAAACATTTGTTAATGTACTAAAATGGATAATATACTATTTTTGCTGTATTACAACAATAAGGTCAGAAATCAATTAAGACATTCTATGTACATTATTACTAGAAAATATAGGTTGCAACAAGTATCATATCGCTTATTGCTCTGAAATGTTAAGAATTTTTCGTATTTCATCTATTGATTCATTCTTGCTCTCTTTTCAGTGCATGCACAAAAAGCAGTCGATCACATCAGAAAGAACAATGCATCAGGAAATCAGTGGAATGTAACGCTTGTCTAGAAATGCATCGAGTTCAGAACCATCAGTCAATTCAAGACATGTGTAAAAATTATGAGAGAAATTAGAAGCAAGTAACAAACCTATTCATTTAAATGTTAGAGGAAAAATCATGACAGTTTCGTTGGGTGATTTTATTCATAATGAAAGAGAGCCAGATAATTTATTCAAGAAAATGTTCACTGGTCAACATCCATGCTATCAAACACAATGTTCGACATTCAACTCTGATCCAGTTTATTTTATTGATTGTGATCCAATTGTTTTTAAACATATTCTCGAGTGGTTACAATACGGAGCTATTGCAATTGAATTGAGTAATGATGTGAAACGATCCCTTTTAAATACCTGTAAAAAGTTTGAATTGAAAAATATTATTAATGAATTGGAAAATGAAGAGTCAACAAGACTCAATTTGAAAAACTTTGTCAATTTACACAAAATTCAAAAGAGGTCATTGAATTTTAAATATTATAATTTTAATAATTTGAGTGCTTGTGATTTTAGTGGAATGAATTTAGAAAGTTCAAATTTCAAGATGCTAATACTGAAAGGATGTGATTTTAGTAATTGTAATTTAACTAATGCTAATTTTATAGAATGTGATATGATTGAATGTAATCTCAGTAATTCTATTTTGAATAATACTAATATTTCAAAAAGTAACTTGTCAAGAGCTAAAATTGATGTTTGTGAGTTGATTCAAAAGGTTGATTTTTCAAGATGTAATTTATCAAACATTTGTTTCAAACAATTTAAATTCGATAATGTAATATTTACAAACTCAATTATTGATGGATCTAAATTTGAGGATATTACTTTTGAAAAGTGTAAAATCAAAACACATTTTAAAAAGAATAATGGATTGATTAATTGTAAATATATTGAATGTGATTTCACTGGAACAATATTTGAAGAAATTGATTTCAAATTAATTGAACCAAGTTTATCAACCACTTTATTTAATAATTGTACATTTAAGAATTCAGATTTGGGAAAATTGAAGGATTTATCAAAATTTAAGGGAAGCAAATTTGATTCATGCTTAATTAATTTAAAACAATTTACAAACAAAAATATCAAAAATATTCAATTCCAAAATATTACCCTGAACCTAACAGGAAAGGATTTCCAGTCTTTCAAGTTTACAGATGTATTGTTTACTCAATGCACAAATATTACACATTTCTTGATTTCTAATATTATTAATAGTGAATCAATTTCGTTAGAAATTAGCTCACATACCAATAGTAAAGCAATTCCTCAATTATTATACAGAGGGTCAAGAGATGGATTCAAAGCAGAAAATTTTCATTCAAAATGTTGTAATCAAGGTCCAACATTAACAATTATCAAATCAGCAGAACACAACCAAATATTTGGTGCATTTACTTCAAAATCTTGGATGAAAGATAGTTTTACGGATGATTTGGCATTCATTTTCAAAATTGATTCAACAAATAACAATTATCAATTCAAAAAGTTCAGAGTCAAAAAAGGATGTTATGCTATTTCTTTACTTGAGGATTTTATGCCAGGATTTGGAGGTTATACCCTGGTAAGCAATGATATTACTATTTTCAATGATTGCAACTTGAATTACTTTTCATCATCAAACTTTGGCAACGCTTATGAACTGCCCAAAGGATACAAAAAAGGAACAACAGAAGCGAATAGTTATTTGGCAGGAAGTGAGATGTTTAAAGTTGAAGAAATTGAAGTGTTTAAAATTATTCTTTAAATATCCAAACATAGCCCATGTAAAATCCCAATTTAATTCTGTATATTACTGGAATAAATATTAAACAATGAATTTTCAATAAAACTCAATTCATAATATTGATTTCTTTCCAAAGATTGAACTCCTCTCAATTTCATCTCATATTCTAACAGTTGTTTGTAAAATCCCATATTTGGCATGATTATACTTCTACAATTTCTAACTTTAACAAAAGCTAAATGAAATTCCAAAAAACTGGTGATGAACTACTTACCATCTTTGAGAGAAATATCCAATTTCCTCATCAGATATGCAATTACAATTGTTGAACTTCTTGAAATACCTGCCTGACAATGAACCAAAACAGCTTTACCTTCATTTTCAATACTGTTACTAATAAACTCAAATGTAGCATCAAAGTGTTTTGAAATATCCTGGTAGGCATTATCATCAATTTCAACTTTCATATATTTTACAGCAATTTCTTCATGATTTTCATAATAATTCGGAACCTCACAAGTACAATTCACAATCGAACCGATATTAAGAGTTTCCATATCTAATACTCTTCTAGCGGAGGCCATACTTCCTAAATTAAATTAATTAAATTAATTATATTTCAGTTACTTCTTCTTACCTAGATACAATTGGCCAGGAATAATTTCCGATGCCTTTCCACTAAACATATTCGTGATGATTTTTTAATTATATTTTTTAATTATTGATATCGAAATCTAAATTTATTAAAAACTGTTTTTATAGAACAATGAACTCCGAGTTCTAAGGCAATCAATTGACGCAAATTAAGAGGATTTTTTGAGTAACGTAATCTACTTGACTCAAATACAATAGCTTACAATCAATATCCAAGAACTTGAAGAGCAACCGACGATAATATTATCGATTCCATTCCGAATCTAATTGAAGAACAAAATCCATCACTCCAGCGTACAATACATCAAACCCCATCAAGAAGAATAAAAATAACACAAAAAATAGGCGCAAGACATCGAACGGCCTATTTTGAGTTTTTTTCATCAAGTTGTTTTTATTGTTGCATCTAAATATTCTCTTGAGAATCTACTCGAACTAATTGTTTGAATATATAGTGATTTGTTATTGTTAATTTATTAGATATTTGGATTTTTAAAGATGATACAAAATAATACAATCCGGAAAAGTGGTGATGGAGGAGGATTGAGAAGGTTATCTACTGTTGGTACTCTTGTGGTTGTTTGTATTGCTTTTGTGCTTTCAATTGTATTGTTGGTGCAAAACAATCAAATGATGAGTGCATTCAATGTTGGAAGATTTCGTTCCTACTTTTCTCCAAAAATTGTAACTTCAACTATTATGATCAACGATGCATTGCTTGAAATGTCAGCAAGTAATAATTTACTGGATCAATTAATTTCGAAAAATACAAGAGATTCTAAAGAAGAACCAATTCAATACTTTGTAAGATTAACTAGCTCAAATTTGGATTTATCAAAGTTTAATGGTGCTCTCTTGAATGCATTGACTGTAAATACTAATACTGTAAATAATGTAGCAATTACCGCCAACAGACTCGGAAAAGCTTTGGAGCATTCAATTATTGGAACACTTTCCAATGGTGTTCTCCTTGCTATTAGAGCAACACCATCCGAAATGTCCGAGTTGGCCAAACTTGCCTCTATTGAAACAGAGTATGGATCCACTATCGAGTGGATTGGAAGAGTTGATTCTAAATTCAAATCCAATCTTGATTTTACCAAGATGCAGGAAATGTGGGAAAACAAAGCTGCCACGACTCAAACAGAAATTAAGGAAACTACATTGGAGGAAACTCTTGAAAAATTAACTAGATTCGAGTCGGCAAATTCCAATCTAAATAGGCATACTCGTGCAGTGGCATCATCTATTGTTTCACATATTTCAGTTTTTGCCACTATTACTCCAAGTTTGAGAGCCATTCTCGATGAAACAATTGAAAAGGAAACAGAAACAATTGTCTCTCAGTTGAATAAGGAATTGCAAGAAAAGTTCTCAAACGAAATTGCCAAATTATCCAAGGATGAAGAACCACTATTCTTTTCAGTCAAGAAGGAAGGTCAAGATAGAATCGGGTTCACTTGTTCTCCAAAGATTGCCTCTGAAGCCATGAAGATTATCATGAAACATGATGCTATCCAAAGCGTTGAAAGACAACTTCCATACACTCTCATGAACTATTATCCAAATATTATTATGCAAGGAATTAATGCTGATACTCCAACCACTGCCAATTCTAGCTCAAATTTATTCATTTGGGAGAATGGAATTACAGGAAAGGGAGTTGTAGTTGGTGTAGCTGATACTGGTATTGATTCTGACCAATGCTTCTTCCATGATCCTGATAATGAAGTTCCAGTCAACACTGTCAATATGGAACACAGAAAGATTGTCTCTTATCAAACTGTGGCTCTCGAAGATAAGTATGGAAATATTTACAAGTCAGACGATCAAGATGGTGGTGATGGACATGGTACTCACGTTGCTGGCAGTATTGCTGGAAGCATTTTGACAAGTGCAGATACTTTTTCAGATCTTAAAAAGTATAATGGAGGTGCACCAGGTGCCAAGCTCTTCTTTACTGACATTATGAAAACTGGAGGAAGTAGTCTTCTCATTCCACCTGATTTGTACAATTACTTGTTCAAGATTCCATATCAAAAGGCAAACGTGAGAATCCATTCCAATAGTTGGGGATGTTCTTTCTCTGCAGTGTTTAATTGTAAATATAATTGTAATTGTAAATGGGCAATTGATACAGACTATGGTAAAACAGGAGAGACTGTTTCAAATGATTTCTGTAAAACAATGTTTGGAAAATCTTGCTGCCAAATTTGTAATACCTATGATACCAAAGCTCAAGATATCGACAAATTCACATGGGATCATGATGATTTTGTTGTCTTATTTGCAGCTGGTAACGAAGGACATACATCTGATGTTGGTAATATTGGTAGTCCAACCACCTCAAAGAATGTTATCAGTGTTGGTGCTTCTCAAACTACAAATGACGGTTTTATCAGTGCAGTTGACCATGTTGATTTTACCAGTATTTTCCAAGCCATCAAGGTTTCATCAGAAGAGGAATGTTGTAACTTTAAGGGAACAACAGATGACCAGACCAACCTTGTTAAATCATTGTGCTGCAGCACTTTTATGAAGAAGACTTACTCTGACAGTAAGAAATACTTTACAAAGGAAAATTTAGCTTACTTCTCTGGACGTGGACCAGCAATTGGTAACAGAATCAAACCTGATCTTGTTGCTCCTGGTTATGAAATTGAATCTATGCACTCTGATGGTAGTCTCAGTACTTTCCAATGTGGAACAGGAAGACCAACCCCAACTAACAAAGCATCTGTATTGACACTCAGAGGAACTTCCATGGCAACACCTCTAGTTGCATCAAGTTTGGGTATGTTATCATTGAATTATTTGAATTTTTATTAACATGTTACAGCTCTCATTCGTGAATATTTTATGACTCGTACTGTTCATAGTAATCCATCTGGACCATTGCTTAAAGCCACCCTTGTTCATTCCTCACAACCATTGAAGGGTATGGTGTCACTTGATGGAAGAGGCTCAATGTCTGACCTTAAAAAGATGGGTTATCCAAATGCTTATACTGGATTTGGTCTCGTTTCCTTGTCTTCAGTTCTTAAATTTGTTGGTTCAACCTTTGAATTATTCACAGTTGATAGAAAGACCATCACACAAAGTCAAACACAAAACTATTGCTTTAGAAGAGTTGCAGGTAGATCACCATCTTCTGGATCTACATTCCTATATGCCACAATTGCTTGGTATGACATGGCTGCCACAAGTACCAAGTTTGAGCTTTATCAAGATTTGGATTTGAATGCCTATGTATTCTCAGAAAATAGTACAAGATCAACTAGATATCCAGGAAATGACAACTCAGACGGTGATCACTTAAATAACGTTGAAAAGGTCAGAATTGAGGAAATTGATGAAGACATACTTGTTGGTGTTTCAGTAACAGCTTACAAATTGCTGAAGAACCAAAATTATTCCCTCGTAATTACTCACTCTGATGATATTGAACCAATTGGTGGATGTAATCCACCAGCACCTTGGGTACCAG